AAAATCTTCATGTTACTGATATTATAATATCGTAGTTACTTTTCTTACCATTAATCCAATATAATACTTAGGTACAAACTCAAATATACCAAATACAACATTATTTTCTTATAACACAATGTCGTGATTCTATGATGACAGCTGGATTTGTTTTCGCACATCCTAACATCACTATTTTTATAATACATATAATAATTTTGTTAAGGATGTTATTCTTAAAACAAAACAAAAACAGAAATAATTTGAAAATGTAGTTTAGAATTTTAAATTTCTAAAATCTCTTATAAGAGAGTCAGACACTATTATCATACATATTCCAATATAATATGGGTACATTAATTAAAAATTTTGATTCGTAATGTTTTTTTTTTGTTAATTCATCTAAAAGTAGAAAAGAAATGCGAAAAGAAATATTTTTTGTATAACAGATAAAAGAATATTAAATTTGCATTTATTTCAACTTTTATAAATTAAAAATTTTGACTGAATAAAAATATAAACATGAGTGAGTTTAAGAAAAAATCTGATTATAGAATTTTAAGTCATTTTAATACTATAAAAATAAAATAGAAATAAACTTGTATAATAGAATTAACTTGGGTGGGTATTTTTTCTTGGAAAAATATTATTATAAATGAATGCACTTGTAATTTAGGGCAATCTCGTTTATTCAGTTTTAGAATAATTCTAACTTGTAATACGTTCAAAAAATAAATACACTAAAAATATAGATCGTTTGGAAATTACTGTAATCTATAATGTAGAACTTTTAGGGCAGCGTGCATAAACGAAAACCCCCCTTAGTACTAGATTTACAATAACATACGTATGTATATTAAAAACTGGTTAAATTGTAAATTACTACTTTTAAAAGTGAAAAATTTCAATAGTAGCTTTTTTGAAAATTAGACAACTAGAAGTCACACATCAAAAATAAATTAAAAAACGCAGTATTATAATTTTTGATTCTTTAACTGCAGTAGCTTAATTAAGGAACTAAAACAGGATTTTTTTTTTGAAATTCAGTTCTAGTTCTAATTTAGATCTTTAATTTCCAGCATGTTTAATAAATCAAAAATATAAAATCTTTAAATTCAATCAATTTCAATTTAGTGCTAGAATTTCATTGTCAATTATAATTAAGCTAATAATCCGAAAAAAAAACTTTTCACTACTACAAAACAAATATAAGTTGTGAATCTACCAATGCAAAAAAAACCCTTTTTTAGTTTTAATTTAGAAATGCGTAACGATCCAGCAGTTTTTATAAGAACATTACTCGTAATTACTATTACTTAGTTACCTAATTGCTAATTACTTAATTATACTTAATAGAGAGAACATTAATGAATTGAAAAATTAATCAACTATCAAAATGCAATTCAAAAAGCAATGTATTTTCTACATTAAAATCTCTTAAGGATTTGCAAATTTCGAAAAATCGAAAGACTTTTAAAAGAGTTGTGATTTTGTATAACAGTTGTAATTCTTTAAAAAATATTCATAAATAAAACTATCATTATTTTTTTTTTTTTTTTCAAATCAATAAATGTTTTTTTTTTTATTTTTATAATTTTTTTTTTTTTTTATGGTAAATTATTAACAAAACAATTAAAGAGGAGATTTTTTTTTTTTAATCATACAATATTTTAAATTTTTTATAACACTTTGTTTTAATTTTTTTTTTATTTTTTTTTTTTTTTAATATAAATTGTATATTTATATATGGGGTAACACACTCTGTATATAATAATATAATATTAATTTTTTTTACAGTTAATATATATAGTATTATAATAGTGTTATATTATATATGTATAACAGTTATGAAAATGCTATTATATAAAGCATATTAATAATAATAAAAATAAAATTTTTATAAAATTCTTATATTTCTTTTTTATTTATTGTTTTTTTTTCTCTTTTTCTTTTATACTTTCTTATTTATTTTTAATTAATTGTTATACTTTTATTTTTATTTAATGAAATTTTTTTCTCTTTTTTTTTTTTTTGTTTATATATAAACAATTTGTATTTGTAAGTAGGTATGTAGAATTTATTATATTAATTATACATAATTATTTATATAATTTTTACAATTAAATATTCAAAAAAAAAAAAAATGTACTAAATGTACTAAAAAAAAAATGTATTTTCTAAATTTTATAATATTAATTTTTTTATATACCAAAAACAAAATAAACATTTTAAAAAAAAAAATAAACACTCTCTACAATTAAAAACTATAAATGAAATAAACAAAAATTTTTAATTTTTAAAAATATTTTTCCTGTTTTTCTTATTGTTTTCAATTTAAATTAATAATTATTTTATTTGTTATTATTATATAATTATAATTAAAGAAATAATTAATTACAAATCAAAAAAAAAAACACACACATTGCTTTCGTTTATAATACAAAAAAACAAAAAAAAAAATAATAATATTTTTAATAATTAATTAACAAACATTTTGAAAAAAAAAAAAATAATAATTTTATTTTAATAATTATATTTTAATAATGGTAATAATTAAGAAATAAACACAAAAGTTAATTAAATATATAAAATGCGTCCGTCTGCGCATGAGCATATATTTTTTTTTCTCTCGTTTTTTTTTTCTCTTGTTTTCCATTTAAATATTATAAAACAACAGTAATGAGAATAAAATTTCTTATTTGACAATAATATTTCTGTAATCTGTCATTATTAATTAATTAATTAATTAATATTTATTTATTAATATTATATAATGCACTTACATATTAAATTAATATACAAATAATTGTAAATATAATTATTTAAACAAACTTTATAATTAAGTTGTCGCCATTTTTCGTCAATATACATATATATATATATATATATATATATATATATATATATATATTTATTTATTTAATTTATTTAATATAATAAAATGTTTTCATCTTTTTTATTTTAGTTTATATAATAATAATTACAATTTGAAAAAAAATATTATATAATAAAATGTTAAAAAATTAAATATAATTATTTTTTATTATAATAGAAAAACACACTCAAATATTATTATTTAATAAAAATAGGAGTAATGAAAAAAAAAAAAAAAAATTATAAATTAAAATTTGAAATTTTCAATTTAGAAAAATTAGAATTTTTTCCAAACTGTTATATAAATTTATGATATAACAATGACAAAATAAAATGAAAGGAGGTTTGAAAAATTTTTAAATTAATTATTTTTATATTCCTTTTCTTAATAATTAAGATTTTCATTTAAATAAATTATAAAAAAAAAAAAAAAATCATTATGATTTTTCAAAAATAAAAAAAATAAAATTTAATATTTTCTCTAAAATGGAGAAAAATACAAAAAAAACAAAGTAATAAAAAAAAATAACAAATAATTAAAAACAAAAAATTATGAATTTTTTTTTTTTTGTTTTCATAATTAATTTATTATTAATTAATTATATATATATATACGAATATTTTTCATTCTTTTATTTAAATAAACAAATTAAATTAGAATACAAAAAAAAATTAAGAAATTGCATTCAAATACATTAATATTCGACAATTATTTAAAATTTGCATATTTCTAGGAGTTTTTTTTTATTTTTTTTTTTTTTTGATATTCATAAACATAATTATTATGTAGGAGAAATAATTAATAATAATTATTTCATTTACTATTTGTTTTTAATTTTAATAATTAAATTATTTAAATTTCTAATTCAAATCTCCTCAAAGTATTTTGATTTGATACATTTTTTCCTATATTTGATGACAATTTTGTAGTTGTTGTTGATATCATTGATGATGTACTTGGTATTTGTATTGTTGAAATTGATGTTGTTAATGCTGTTGTTTTTATAGATGATAATGATGATAATGAAGAATTTTTAATATTTTCTTTTTTTCCTTCTTCTTCTTCTTCTTCTTTTTGTTCTTCTTCTTTCATTTCTTCTTCATTATGATTTAATAATATAAAATTATTTATATTATTATTATCATTAATATTATAATTATTATTTTTATTATAATTATTACTATTATTATTATTATTATTATTATTATTGTCATTATTTTGCTCAATTGCCCGCCCAATTAAGGGAGAGGTTGAACATTTATTATCATTAACAGTATTATTATTATTATTATTAATAATTGATAATTTATTTGTTTTTCTATTATTATCAATATTATTATTGTTTTCATTATATAATTTTATACTGTTATTAATATAATTATTATTATTATTATTATTATTACCACTTTTACTATTAATTACTTTATTATCGGTGAAAATATTTTCTTCATCAACAATTTTCATATTATTATTATTATTATTATCACCAATTATCATTTTATTTTTATTAATTATTTTATTATCATTATTATTATATTCATTATTACTGTTATTATTATCATATTGTTGTTTTTTTTGTAATTGATTTGATGTTTTACCTAAGAAAATATTTGTTAATTGTGATGATGATGATGATAATGATGATATTTTTGATATTGTTGTCGTTGTTGTTGTTTGTGTTGGTATTGTTGTTGGTATTATTTCACAAATTATATTTGATTTTGTAGATAATAATGATTTTTTTATATTATTATCATTTGATGGTATTGATATTGCTGATGCATAACTGCTATAACTATCAAATGATCTAAATTGATTGTTATTATTATTATTATTATTGAATAATAAATCAGTAAAATTTGTTAAAATAATTTTTGTTAATTTATTATTATTTTCATTATTAATATCATTATTATCTAATTTATTATCATTATTATTATTATTAATATTATCATCACCTTTTATATTTAATATAAAATCATTTTCTGATTCATTAATATTTAAATTAACTAATTTAGTATTATTATTATCATTATTATTATTATTATTATTATTATTATTATTATTATTTAGAAATTGTGTTTTATTAATCTTTGGTAATTCTTCCATTGATTTATTAACATTAATTTTAATTCGTGATGAATTATAAAAATCAGAATTAAATTTATAATGATTATCAAATAATTGTTGGTGTTGTTCTTGTATTTTTGTACTTTTTGAATTATTTTGACTAAATGTTAAAAAATTTTCTTTATTATCATTATTACTATCATTATTATTATTTAATTGTGATGAAATTACATTTACAATATTATTTTGATTATTATGATAATTGGTGATTTTATTTTGTTTATTTGTTTCTTCATATTCTTTTTGTTGATCATTGAAAATTTCACTTTGATTAGGGCAATTAATTGAAGTGGTTATCGATGATGATAATGATGAAGATATTGTTGGCTTTGTTATCATTTTCAAATTTGATGATAAAAATGATGTTATTTTTGGGTAATAAGAATCAATTTTATTATCACATAAATTAACCATTTTCAAACCTATATTTTATATAGAAAAATAAATATGTATAAGAATATTGTTATTGAAAAAAAATTTTAATTAAAAAAAAAATTATTTTAAGAAAGAAACAAAAATAGAATGATGTAAATGATTGAAAGTTATAAATTATAAGTAGAAAATCCAAACACAACAAGAGGAAAGCATATTTGTTGAAATCTGATTAATTATCTAGTTTATACTTAATAAATGAGTACATAGAAAGCAAAGTGAAATTGTGCAAGTCCTGCAGTTTAAAAATTAAAGACAAAATCATATTGCCATAGTCAGAGAAACCAGAGTCTAAAAGTCATGATAATAATTTTTTAGTATTGAGTTGTAAAAATCCAGAATATCAAAGTAGTCAAAGAGAACCTTGTCTTTTTTATTTTTAATATTTTTTATTTAATTAAGTAGAGAATTAATGAAAGTGTAAAACTAGCAATATAAGACAAAACTTAAAGTGCTAATTTTGAGTATTGAGCTAGAATAATTTTTAAAAATTATTGTATTTAGTAGAGAGTTAATAGAATGATAAAAGAGAAATTTAATTTATTTAAAATTTCTTAATGTAAATAATAAGAAATCGGTATTTTATATCAGAAATAATAAGAAATTATTAATTAAAATTAATTAATTAATATTTACAAAGACAAATACTTGAATGACTGAGAAATTTCGGTAGAACGGCAGTAGTACAAAAATAATGCAAGAAAAATAAAAAAAAAATTATTTTACGTCATAATATTTCGGGAAATTTTTTGGAAAACTATTCAAATTGAGATGAACTCTAGTTTATATTAAAATTTGTTAATATTTATTAAATTTGCAATTATTATTCGTAGATTTATGAAAGTAGAATATATAAAAATATTTTTAAAAATTGACAGAATGAGAGCATAGTAACACCACCACACATATATGAAAAATGCATTATGAAACTTTAAATAAAATGTGATTAAAAACAGCAATAACACAAAAATATATAAAAAAAATAAATTTTATTGTAAACAGTAAAATAGTTTGGAGTGAAATTGATTTTTAGAAAAGAGAATAAATACCCTGTTCAAAAATGCAAAAATAAATTGTGCACAATAACAAAATAAAGAAATACAGAAAAGAAATTGATTATTTTTACTGAGTACATAATTACAATTTTTTTAAAGTAATGAGTACATAATTACAATTACAAAATTATAGTAATTTAAATAGAATAAAAATTATTATGATTTTTAAAGTAATAAATTATTACCTTCATTATTATTATTGTTATTATTAAATAATTTTATTTGATTTAAATTATTTTCATTATTTAAATCAAAATCATTATTTATTGGTAAAAAATCTAATGAATCATCATTATCTGTTTCAGATAATGGTGGTGAACATGCTGGTGGTGTTGGTGGCAATGATGATATTATAATATCATTATTATCATTATTATCATTATTGTCATTATTATTATTATTATCATTATTATTAATATGATGATTTTTATCAATATCATTCTTTATACCCATATTATTATTAATATTATAATTTTGTTCATTAATTAAACTATAATTAAAATCAAAAAAATTTGCAAATTTATTTTTAAATAAAGATGATGATGTTGATACCGATGATATTAATGATGATGATGGTGATGATATTGATGGTAATTTTATTATATTCGATTCTTCTGTTAAATTAACAATAGAATCACTAGTAGTAGTAGTAACAATAGCAGTAGTATAAATACTAGTAGTAGTAGTAGTAGTAGTAGTAGTGGTAGTAAAAATAGTAGAAGTAGTAGTAGCATTTTGACAATATTTAATATTATCGTTCATTTTAACATCATAATCATGCTGTTAGATAAAATAATTAATTTTTTTTTGTAATAAAATGTTATAAATATAACTTTCAAAATTTTTATGTGAATATAATTGAATGATATTTTAATAAATTAATTCCTGCCTGAATTAAAATCATAAAACTTCTGTTTCATGATTTTACGATGGGATGTTTAACAATTAATTCTTAAAAAAATTATTTTAATTGAACAAGAATTAATTTTCAAAATTCAAAATTCAATTATCAATTCTACTCAAAATTTATATTGAATAACATTATTAACATTTTTATTAAATAAATTATAATTATGCATATGAATAATTCTTTTCTCAAATAAAATTAAAATTAGTAAAATCAAAAAAAAAAAAAACCAAAACAAACAAAAAAATTTACAAATTATAAATCTTTAATATTCAAAGATGAAAGAAGAAGTTCTTACTTCACTTTCAGGGCATGATGTTTCACCTTTTGCTACAAGATTATGTCGAAAATTTGGATCTGATAAATCATCAGCTGCTAAATGAGCACGAAATTGTTTATTTCTATAAGAAAATGTAGAACAATTATTTAAAATTATCAATTACAAAAAATTTAAAATTTAAATAAAAAAAAAAAATACCTCAGTTCCAATTGTTGCATTTGTTGTAAATGTTTAAGTTTTTGATTCGCTGCTCGTAATTTTTCTTCAAGTGCTGCATTTTCAACACACTTTATTGAATATTTTTCGGAGAAAGAAAGAATTTCTTCTCGTAATTCTTCAAGTTCCTCTCTAACAATAAAAAAATAAAATATAATTGAAGAGATTCGATTTTAATAAAAATGATTTTGTTCTCATACTCTTTTTCTCTTATCGGACCAATATTCTCTCCACGTTGAAATTGTCTAAGAAATTCTTGTTTAAATCTAGCAACTTCTCTTTGAACTTCACTTTGGTGTGCTTTACGCATTGCATCAAGAGCCGCTAAAGTGGCCTATTAAATAGAAAATTTTCAATTTTAATATTTAAATCAAATTTGATTAAAGTTAAAAAAAATTCAATTTGAACCTGTGTTTCTTCAGCTAAAGCTTGTTCTTTTTCGAACAGCAATCTTTCAATTTCAACTCTATGACGTTCTTCAAGATCAGTAATAATTCTTCTATGTGATGATTCCATAGCTGAGAGACCTTTTTCACATAACGTCTAAAGTAGATTTAGAAATTTATTAATATGAGTTTTAAAAATTTATTTTTTGATACCGTACAATAAATTAGAAGAAACAAAATCAACTTAATATAATACAAGAATTCCAATTATTAGAACCGATTATAATTGTTATATAGTTTCATAATAATTATTAGACGGACCTTATTTACAATCAATTTTTTTATAGTACATACCCTAAGTTGTTCAATTTCTGTTTGATATCTTTGACGGAAACTTTCTTCTTCTGGTATACTTGAAATATCAGAGCAATGTGATAGTAATTGATCTCTATATGCTTCTTGTAAACATTCTAATTGTTTTGAATGTTCTCTTTCTAACATTTCTAAACGTTTTTCTAATTTACGTGAACGTTCACGTTCCTTATTCAATTCAGCTTGAATATAATCACGTTCCTGTAAAAGCGATGCATATTCTTCATCTTGTCTTGCACATTTATTTGTTAATTTTTCACGTTCATTTAATAAATCTTTTAATTTTTCACCAGTTTCTTCTAAACGTTCAGATAGATCAATGTTATCATTATTCCTTTGTTGACATTCATCATGTTTTGTTTTCAATTTCAATTGAATAACTTCTAATTCTTTTTCATGATCTTCAACAATATTTGATTGTAATGATAGCTCTTCAATTAATGCTGAACGTTCTGATTCAAGAGTTTTGATTTGATCTAAATGTCCTTCGATTTGTTTCCTTAATGCTGAAATATTTGATTCATGTTCATGTTTTATTATTTTTAATTGATTTTCATGTTGATTTGTTAAATTTCTTAAATTTGTTTGTAATTTCTGACATTCATAACATGGTTCTGTTAAACCTTGAGCAGTATTCATCATTGAATCAACACGCTTTCTAAGTTCACGACATTTAAAACAGACTCCTTTGAAATTTTCAATATCTTGTGTAACAAGAGAAACAGTTGTATTAGGATTTAAAGTACTTTCGAGAACAACTAAAGATTCTTCTAGTTCACCTAAGGCTGATGAAATTTCTTTAATATGAGTTTCATCACTAATAAAATCAATAGTCCGATTTTTGTAAATATAATTAAAATCAGCTTCAGCAATCATATCATCTGGATTTGAAATTTGAAGATCATTTGCCAAATCATCAAAGATATTTTCATATTTCTGTAGCGTTGCAATACTAAATTCACAAAGTTCTTTTGAACTGCTTGAAAATTGTGGTGCATAATCGCCTTTCAAAACGCAAATTCTAGCGTCAACAAGAGCTTTATGGGCAACAATATCTGCAAATTCACATAATAACTGTCTACCTTCACTAGCTTTTCTATCTTGTTCTAAATGTAATCTCCATTGACCCCGTTTCATTTTTTTAAGACTTTCTTCATAACATTGTGTTAATTGTTCAATAGTTTGATCCATTTCTTTTCTTAATGCATCATTTACAGCATCTGCAAAATTTTCAAATGTTAAACGTTCTTCACTTGTCAAAGTGTAGCCGAAAGCTGGTGTTATTGAACTTTCGAAACGTTCAGCACTTCTTAACATAACATGAGCAATTTCAGATTGTACTAATTCAGCATTAACAGTTTCTTGAGCTTGACGCCAAGCTTCCTGAATGGCACCTTGAACAGCATCATTTGAGCTGATATAACTTAAAGTTTCAGCAGCTAAACCTGATGCTAAACTTTCCATGGCATTATTTTTATATCTTTTCGCAATCAAATTAATTTCATTTTGTTGCCTTAACAGATTATCTAATATTTTTTGATCAACTGGTGGTAATTCGAAATTTTTGGTTCTTCGATCTTTTCTATAAGATGAACATACTAAGCGTCTAGCTAAGACTCCAGCTAATATATCTAAGCTACCACTCGGTTTGAACGCGCATTTTCCTCCTAGTTTAGCCTTCAATATTGACATTAATTGGGTTGTTTCAGCTACTTCAGCTTTCGTTTGTTGTTCACTAAATAAATTAGGATTTTCCGCTCTTGCTATAGAATCTCTTAGTTTTCCAAAAACTACACTTTCAAAAGCTATTCGTTCCGATAACAATTCTAAATCTTTTCGTGATGTTAATTCATTTCGCTCTCGTAAAACTCGCCTTTGCTTCAATAAATCAGATAATTTGTTTCGTAATTGCATTTCTAATTGTGTTAAAGCTAATTTTATTGGACTTGAATCAGGTAATAAGAGTACACCACTGGTGGTAGTTGACTGACAATTTTCAATTGGATTGCTAACTATACAAGTTTCACATGATTCTCGAATTAATTTAACAACTTCATTTAAACAACGTTCAACAAATCGAAATGAATCCTTTCGGTCTGTTATGGGAGATACTGATCGCCTTGTTCTAGATGATCTTAAACTCTGCAACTGCTGTAAACTTTGCTCTAATTTATCTTTACTAGAAACCAAAACTCCTTCAAGACATCTTAGTCTTTCAACTAAATGCTCGGATAATTTTGGATTAGATGATGACTTTTTAATAGACGTCTTATCGGATTTAGTATTATTTGTATTTAAAGCTGCCGATTCAATTCTTTTTTCTAAATCGTTTAATCTTACCATAAATTGTAGACTGTCGGTACTATTAGCTGAGCTTTCTAAACTTCGTCGCCGGGATTGAGCTGTTGCTGAACTTGAGCGTTTTGATGACGAAGCCTTCGATTCAACTTCTGTTATTTGGTTGATATTGCTATTTGATGCTACTTTATCGAGACTAGATGATTTTTCTAAGTCGTCAACTTTGGTTTCTAATTCGCTTACTTTAATTTCGAGTTCCTTTGATAAGGTTAATTGTTCTTTACCCTTAAGAGATAATGAACGCCTTCTTTCAGATTTTGCTAATTTCTGTTTTAGAGTACGAACTTGTTTTTCTGAGCTGCTATATTTCAAAGTCAAATCTTGTATTCTTTCTGCCATCATTTGCAATTGTGATTTATCCTGAAGATCTCTTCTTTCAAGATCTTGTTTCAGTGCGGCATAAGATATCTCTAAACTATCATATTGATTTTGTGATTCCTTTAGTTCTTTTTTCATAGCTTTAATCTCGTTAACTGCCTTCTCAAATCTAGACCTAAGTTCAGTGTATTCATCTGCTAACATATCGCGATCGAGACAAAATGGATCGATTTCAGTTAAATTTGTTAAATCGCTTAAAGAATCGAGACGCTTCATTTTACTGCGATTCAAATTGCTAAGACTGCTGTTACTACCTTCCATTTCACGCAATTTTTTGTAAAGCGTTTCATTTTCTTCAATTCCCCGAGATAATCGATCTTCTAAATCGCTCACTTTTTTCTGGCATTCCTCCAGTTCTAAAGTAAGACGATTAACGACTTCTTCAGCATTATTATTCGTTTCATCAAGTTGTCTTGAAAGTTTATCTCGTGCTTCTTCCATTTCTCTCATTCTTGCAGTCATTTCTAATTCAGTTCTTTCTAGAGTCGTTAAAAGTTCAGACATTCTAGCTTCTCTTTCTTTGGCTTCTTCACGCAAAATATCTCTCTCCTTTTCGGCAGCACCTAATCTCTGTTGTAATTCTCTACCAATATTTAATTCTTCTTGGACTGGATGAATTAATGGCAGTTCATCTGAACCTATACTATCCACAGTACTTCGTCTTGAGCTTGGAGGTGACGATCGACTACGTTTATGCAAACGTGGGCTTGTACCACCTGCTCTATTACGCATTCTTTCTTTTGCTCTAAATAGGGCTAATGGAATAGGAGGAGAAGGTGATAAAGGTGAACCCCAATCGACACTTTCTCGTCTACCACCCTCTGAGGCTGTTCTGTATTCTTCATCTGAAGAGAATAAAATTGATTTAGATGTTAGAGGTGTGACAGGTGTTGTTGGTGATGGTTTTATTATTATTGCCGGCGTTGGAGGCGGCTGTTCTTTTGTTGGTGAACTTTCATGTATAACAATTTTATTGATTAACATATCTTGATTTCTTTGGGCTTTAATAAAATCTTTTTCTATTTCAGTTTTTAAATCTTTATTAGTATTGTTATTATTATTACTGTTATTTTCATTAATTATTAAATCTGTTTCCATATTATCAACTGTTTTTGGTTCAGTTTTGGTTGGTTTTGGTTGCAACCCAGCTGCACTTTTCAATACATTTATCCAATTATTTCTAGAATTTGCTGATATACTAGCTAAAATAACTCTTCGATTATCCCATGTTGTCAATTGAAAACCAAAACTTCTTGATGTTGTTAGCTCCGAAATATTGGTTAAACTATTAACATCAAGAACTCCATCTAAAACACCACGCTCTTCTGAAACTGGATCACGATAAAAGAAAAGTGCAGCACCACGTAATGTAAACCAATGTTTTGACCATTCACCAGTTCTAATATCCTGTTTCATAAGCCAACCTTTTTTCGAATTTAATATTTCTTCAGCTGGTAAATTAACACGTAATTCAGAATTCTTTGATAAATAATTATTTGATAGATCATCCAAATTACAACCGCCATCTGGATCACCACGTTCATTTGATTTTGATAATGGTGTTAATCTATTATATTGATTCATTGATTGTAATTTTAATTGTTGTAATCTTGGACTAGATTTATTAATTAGTTTATCATTGGATGATAAATTTTTTATTGAACCATTTTTATTAGATGCCACTGATGTTGTTGTAATTGTTGTTGTTGTTGATTGATTTATATTGTTATTATTAATATTTTTGTTATTATTGTTGTTATTAATATTATTATTGTTATTATTAGTGTTATTGTTACTATTATTATTTGATGTTACAACTGGTGGTATTTTTTTAACAATGGCAGCTACAATGGCAGGTCCAGTACTTGATGCTAATGGTAATGACTTTGGTCGAATATTAACTACAGTTTGTTGAGTATGATGATTATTATGATGAAAATCAGTTTCATCACGTGTTGGTTTCTCATCTAATACAACTTCTTGTTGTTGTTTATTTGTTGTTTTTGTTGTAGATATTGTTGTTGAATTATTTGACCAACAGCAATTTGTTTGACTTAGATTTGTTATAGTATTTGCTATATCTTTTAATTTTTCACCACGTCTCACATCCTCAATTAGTAATGATGTCGTTGTTGCTGTAAATAGGAAAAATAAAAAATTAAATTGTAAATTAAAAAAGGAACTCAAGTGTAAATTAATTTACTATAATATTTATTAAACTGAAAGGTCGTATATTTTATATCCAATTTATTGATAAAACAAAGAAATGATAAAAAAAATTAATAATCAATTTAAATTACAAAGACATTTTCATCAAGAAAACATAAAATGAAAAAGGAAAGGATTTCATTTCTCACTTATTTTACAATAATATCAAAAAATTTTTATCCTTCGATTTATTTAAAATTTAACATACTATGGTCTCATAATGATATACAGGGTGTTGTAATTCAGATATTGTAAGAAATTCATTTAATATTATAAGCGGAAAACGAGAAACAAGAAAGACATTTGCCAATTATCAGCCCCTTCGAACATTTGTCCGGTGGAAAACAAAGAAAAAAATGTTGCTGGGAAATTTGAGCCAATAAATCCGATTATATATAATTTTAGATCTAATGAGCAGAAAAATTAATATTACATCAGAAATTATACATCTAATTTTCGATAAATATAAAAGTTCGATAAATTTGATCTTACTCACATAACAGAAAATAATGATACATATGGACAGATGTATAGCTACATATATAAAGCTTACAACTACTACAAAGGGTAATTGCTATTTACGTGGGGAATCAATCATATTGTTTTAAAGAACGGTAATTATTTAAAGTTGATTTATTACCCACCATTTACGTGAGCAACCATATTATTTTAAAGAGCAGTAAGAGAAATTCTACAATATAATGACTCAAAAAAAAATTTCATTTATAATAATACTATTATTCCTCTCTCTTAAAATATAAATAATGAGAAGTTGGGAAATATTTTGTTGAAATGACAAAATATATGTACATATATATATAATTTGTATATATACATGTGTATATATAATATATATATAATTTGTTTATATACATGTATATATATATCATATGTATATATTATATATATATAATATATATATAATATGTATATATATAATATATAATATATATATATATATATATATGTGTATATTTTATTTATAGAGAATATTAAAAATTGTATTTAACAAACATTCTTAACTTCCAATATTTTTACTCAGTATTATAAACAGACACCACCCTGTTGCCAGCCTATTATTTTACTCGTATAATATTTTATCATGTAACTATAAAATATTCACTAAGTGTACTCAAACATTATCATATCTTAATGTTAATTACTTTTGTGTCTTCATTCATATTGGATTACATTTTTAGCAATTAACTTCTCAATTTTTCACCTCAGTTATTAATAATAGAAGAAAAAGTAATGTATATGTATGTATATATAAAATTAAGAAAAAAGGAGAGAAAAAATTATTAAATTTAATAATCTGATATCACAATCTTTGTTCTCTTATACACTACTAAAGGATATTTAATAAAAAAATATTTATAAGAAGCATTGTAATTGTGCGCTGCTTGTTTTATTTTTAATATTTTATTATATTTGTTATACTATGTCTTTTTACTTATTATAGCAGTTATAGCTTTTGTTTTTAACTCATATCTCTTCTTAGTTGTTCGTATATATACACATATTATATGTATATGGAGATATATTCTTTTGCTTTTATATTTTATGATGTTTTTGTATACCTGCGGCTAGTTGATTGCTTTGACTAGCAAAATAATAACAATTATTTTATATTTATACGCCTAACTATATATATATATACATATATAATATATCACTTGCATATACACATAAATATGTGATGTAATATAGTTTAAAAATTGGTCGGTTGATTTTAATTCGAGTATACACACATAACAAAGAAGCGTCATCCAATATAATACAAGTATTCAGTCAATGAATATTCTATAAACAAAAAAAAAAGCAAATACAATTTTTATACCCTGCACTTCGTGAAGGGTATATTAACTTTGGTATGGAGTTTGTAACTACTTGAAGGAGTCATCTGCGGTATGGACATATATATATATTCTTGCTCAGCGTAAAATTCTGCGTCGATTTAGACATGTCCGTCTGTCCGCCCGTCCGTCCGTCCGTCCGTCCGTCCGTCCGTCCGTCCGATCGCACGATAACTCAAAAACGAATAATGCAATCGACACCAAACTTTAACAAGTTTTTTCTTTTGTGCCAAGGACGAGCCCTATTGTTATTGGACTAATTCGGACAACGGGTTCGGGTAGCTGCCATACAACTCAAAGAGTTTATTTTAAATATTTCAAAAACTAATAAAGCTGTAAATATAAAATTTTGTATACATGTGTCCAATTATATTCTACATATGCTCTAAGAATTATAATGGGATAGCTGCACCGGTTCGGGTGGCTGCCATACAACTCCAACAGCAAATTTTTTATATTCGGCAAAATAATAAAGTCAGATTCTTGAAACTTGGCAGTCATGTGTCCAATTATAGGTCAAATATACTTCTGAAGTTTTAGAGGAATTGCTTTACAGGTTCGGGTACCTGCCATACAACTCCAGAAGCTAATTTTAAATATTTGGGAAAATAATAAAGTCAGATTCATGAAACTTGGCAGTTGGATGTCCGATTATAGATCAGATATATTTTTGAAGTTTTAGAGTAATTGCTTGACAGGTTCGGGTACCTGCCATACAACTCCAGAAGCTAATTTTAAATATTTGGAAAAATAATAAAGTCAGATTCATGAAATTTGGCAGTTTTGTGTCGAGTTATAGGTTAGATATATTTCTGAAGTTTTAGTGGTATTGCTTGACAGGTTCGAGTAGCTCTCATACAAGTCTAAAAGCTTATTTTAAAAATTTGGAAAAATAATAAAGTCAGATTCATGAGACTTGGCAGTCGTGTGTCCAATTATAGGTAAGACATATTTCTAAAGTTTTAATGGGATTGCTTGACAGGTTCGAGTAGCTCCCATACAAGTCTTAAAGCTTATTCTTAATATTTGGAAAAATAATAAAGTCAGATCCATGAAACTTGGCAGTTGTGTGTCCGATTATAGATCAGATATATTTGTGAAGTTTTAGTGGAATTGCTTGACAAGTTCGGGGACTTGCCATACAACTCCAAAAGCTAATTTTAAATATTTGGAAAAATTATAAAGTCAGATTCATGAAACTTGGCAGTCGGATGTCCAATTATAGGTCAGCCATATCCGTGAAGTTTCTATAGAATGACTTCACAGGTTCGAGTAACAGCTACACAATAACGAAAGGTGCAGGGTATAATTCAATCGGTTTATACCGACTGAAACGTTTTTACTTGTTTTGTTCCTATTTTTTTTAAATGTAGTTTCCTACAAATTATTAAATAGGAAATCTTGTTGAATTGTTAAATTGCTCAAGTACCTACAGACTACAAATCATTTAAAATACACCAATTTTAATGCAAAAAAAATGAAATTATTTTTTTTGTCGTAAATGTCATCTGTCATTTACTGTCATAATAATATGTTTGTTCACTTTCTTTACAGTACCCCATTTTGTTTATTTGTTTTACATTGGTTTTAAGAATTATGTATAAAAATATCGAATAACTGCAGTATTCTTCTTATATGGACTTCAAGAGATTATCCTATCTTCGGCAATATAAGGCTCTAAAATCAAATTTTGGAAAACTAATTTAAAAATCGCTTCTCGACGATTCGAATAATTATGTTGGCCAAATTGAAACGGGTTTAGTTTTGAAGAAAAGAAAAAAATACATTTGGTTTTCTTATATACTAGAATGTAATTGAAGGTCACATAGTAATTTTATATGAGTTAAAAGAGGTTTTATTTGAATTTAAAGAACTATGACATATATTTCTTTTGTACATCTCTTTTTTTTCACTAGCCGAGTGAGTGTCATATATTCGTACAAATGTAATTTTTGAAATGTGAAAATTTTTCGTATTGTGTAGTCGTATCTTTATTTCTAACAAAATGTAGATAAACAAAAATTTTGGTCACCATTTTTTTTTTTTTTTTGGCATTTTATATTGTTTTTGAAAGTGACAGTTAAAAATTCGAATGACAAATTTGGAAAAATGACATATTTAAATTGCAATTAGTAAAATCATTAATTCTGATTTGAGAAAAAATGTGAGACTGGAAAAGCAAAAATATTGTACAAGAAAACGAGGAACTATTAAAGTCCCAATGTAATTTTACTCCATTTTATGAGAACCATTTCTACGGGTTACCTCATGTACACCTAATCAGAATATAGAATATTGTTTTTTTTTTATTTTAATAACTATGATATTGTTTTCATTGCATTCACTATACATAAGTACATACATATTATATATATAAATAACCTTGACAGTGATTGCATTAAGTGACCGAGTCATCGTCGCGGTAATATTAAATTACAATTACGCTCATATTTTTTGTTTTTACTTTATTTTAATGAATTTAGAAATATATAAAAAAAAAAAAAGCACAAGAGAAAGAAAAAACCAAAAGAAAAGATTTTTTTATTTTTATTAATTTTATGAGTTTAAGAGAGTTTTACACAATAACAATAACAACAATAGCCAAAACAAGAACCACAGGAGAAAAAAAAATGATTTTTATATTATAAAAAATATTTTTAACCAATTTGATTTTTTTCTCTCTCTTTTTGTTTTTAAATTATTAAAATAATTCTGAGAAATTTTTAATAACAAATTTGATGTCATATTTTAATCCTCCTTGAATGTTTTTTTAAAAATAAATTATTTTGGATTTTTGCTCTGCTCCTTCTACTTTTTATTTTTTTTTGTTTTAATAAATAAATTAAAAATAATGTTAAAAATTATTATATAGAAAAAGATCAAGGACAAAGACAAAAAAAAAAAAAAAAAAATCCTTCTTTTAAGGAATAAAAGTTAATTAAAAAAAGTTTTTTTTTTGTTTTTCTTGCAATAATTGATACTAGAAAAAAACAAACACAAAGTTTATAAAAAATAAAATTGAAACAAACCAATTGGTTCGTAAAGAAGCACTTTTCTCTTTAAATAAGTGA